TTTCACAAGTTTCAAAATCTCCCCTCCCCCCACCGCATCCCAAAACCAGTCCAGCTCGTCCCTGCCTCCCTAACCTGTTCTTCCTCCCACCTATCCCCTCCTCCCACCTCAAGCCGCACCTCCATCTCCTACCGACCAACCTCATCCCGCCCCCTTGACCTGTCCGTCCTCCCTGGACTGACCTATCCCCTTCCTAACTCCCTACCTACACTCACCTTTCCTGGCTCCATCCCCGCCTCTTCGACCTGTTTGTTTCCTCTCCACCTATCCTCTCCTCTATCCCTCTTCTATCCGCCTCCCACTCTCTCCCTATTTATTTCAAAACCCCCTTCCCCTCCCCCCTTTCTGATGAAGGGTCTAGGCCCGAAACGTCAGCCTCTCTGCTCCTAGGATGCAGAACTATACACCAGTCAGCTGGACATCGTTGTCAGGAAAATGCTGGAATCTATTATTATGGAAATCTTAACTACACACTTAAAATCAAAATGGTTTTATGAAAGGGAAATTGTATTTCACAAACTTAGAATTTTTTTTGAGGATGCAACTGACAAATTAGATAAAGGGGTATGAGTAGATTTATTATACCTCGATTTCCAAAAGCCTTTGACAAGGAACCACATAAAAATCTCTCAAGATGAAGGTTCATGAAGTTGGACGTATACATTAACATAAGTAGAAAAACTGTCCAACTGACAAGAAGCAGAAAGTAAGAACAAATGGAGCATTTTCCAGTTGGCAAATAAAGTGCCATAAGGATCAGTGCTGAGGCCTCAAAAGTTACAGATTTTAATCAAGACTTCGGTGAAGAGATGCAGTAATGTACCATCTACACCTGGTCCAATTTCTTATGTACTCATGCTCTTTCTTGATAGTCTGGTCCGGTTGTGTGAAACTGAAGGTCACTGAAATTTAAGCTTCTCATTTCTGACAGGAAATCCAAGGTAAAGATATGTAACTTCATGATGTGTGTGCCTGGTGCTGCCAAGAACTCACAGCAGGTATTTGTTCTCTTGATAAATGGTTCAGTTTCCCTTACAGAAAAGTGAAATACATAATCACCTCAAATAATTAAAAGTTATTGTTAGGTTTTCAGCATCTTGATCTTCAAAAATTATTTTACATAAATAGAACAGAAAATGATATTAAGTCAGATTAAATGCATTTGCCTGCTATTTAAACTAATTTAATTTATACGGCTTATAACAATTCACATTAGTGTACAGAGAACGGAATTTCATCTAAACACATTAAAATTACTAATGTGTCATGACGCACTTGTAGCTAAATGATGTAGTTCAGACACAGGGACCCATTTTCATGATCAGAGATACTCAACCAACAATCAATAAAACTGTATCTTTTCAACCATATTTCATTATTTGACTCTGCCTGAACCTGTATTTTAATACTGCATATTGTAAAAAGTGTCTCATTTACATCGTACAGCATAATTTCAACCTAAAAGGAATTTGTTTGGTCCTTTGACTTCAGATAATGAAAGTAATCAAAATAGTACATACAAACTATATAAATGCAAATCAAATAATTAAAAATACTTTATCAGGCTACATAGAATTAAACAGTTCTGTTGCACATTCACAACTATTGCAGGGGGGGATTCCAGAGAATTCTTAGAGAAGTCAGGGGCACAAATACAGCTATTATTACCTTGGTGGGGAAATCACATGCCTCACAAGGCAAACAATGTCAGAAGGAACGGGGCCAGAGGCTGGACTCCCTACTCAGAGAATCCCTGCTTTCATAAGGAGCCCAGCAATAAAACCGGAAGTCAGTATACTCAGGGAGTTAGTGCAGTAGTCACGAGAATCGAAGAATTCAGACATGACCAATTAAGAAATCTGGACCATTGAGGATTGGTAATTTCTCTAAAAACCAACATTAATCTCCTCATGAGGGAGGAAACTATATAAGGTTTTGGTCCGAGCCCTATGACCACAAGACATGTCTGTCATTAAAGGAGAACCAGTCGTTGCATACACATGGGATGTCCTTTTACTGACCCTGCAAAGTCAAAAATGTCAACATAGGAGAATGCCAATTTCCAAAATCACTGACCATGTTTTCTAGTACTGTGACATTCAATAAATATGCCATATTATAGTCAGACCTTCAACTAGAAAGCTCAATACCTACATTGTCAAAATGTTGTTGAAGATTGTGCTCCACTTGCATCCTTTCAGCTGTTTCTGCATTTGACATGTTGCTCAGAAACCTGTTTGGGGTTCCTATCTCTTCATCTGCATCATCTCCCAGGAAAATCCTTTCATCAATGTTTCCCACAGTTAACACGTATTCTTCATAGGCCTTGTTAATAGCTTTTCTGTAACACAAGAAAGAAAAGATAACAGAAGACATTCGAAAAGGATCGAATATTCATTATACAGATAGTTTTTATTGTTACACATATTTTCATGCCCTCAAGATGTCACAAAGTGCCTCACAGAAAAATAAGTATATTCCAAGTGCAGTCAAACACTTAAATATAAAGAAACAGTGGCCACTTGTGCAGAGTGAGGTCCTAATTCAGCACTATGATAATTGACCAGATAACATGTTTAAGTGATGTTGTTTGAAGAATAAATTTTGGCCAAGACTCTAGGATATTAGACAACAGTTACTCAAAAAAATGACTAGCAGATTTTCCAAAAATCCTACGAAAAGCCCAATAAACCTGTCCCTCAACCTACATCCAAACGAAGCATGAAAATGTAGTTCAATAAGCATGTGACAAGGTGATGACAATGAAGCACTTTGTAAAATATTTTAATATTGTTGCATATATTCAATTTTGCAACTGCAGTCTAGAAGTGTGTTCCAAGCTATAAATGTTTTCAGTATTTGCCAGAAACACCGAGCCGAAGTACAAATATTTTCAAAAAACATGGATTGTTCAGCATCATGATCTGTGTCCATTTATCAGCCTTATCAAATTCCGTAGCTGTTAAGTCTGATCAGCGATTCTGAGTCAAGGTGTAATCGAAAGAACTTGGAAATTTCACTCATCAGAAATCTAAACCAGTAAGGTTTCCTGCTTTTCGCGTAATAAGTCATTTGATTTCAGACGGGGGAAAAATGTTCTTTGAAGCCTGAGAGATGGAATATCTTCATGACTTACACACTTTCTGTAAAGTTCCCAGGATCCAGAAAGCCAGTAAGAGTTTCTGCTTTTCCCTTTAGGATCTATGATCAATCAGAAATGCACAATTTTCAGTAACTAATGTCAAGAAATGTTAAATAATTCAATCTTAAATATTGCCTGTTTTGAATTGGGTAATTAGGATCCAAACCATTCTTTTAAAATGTGAACTATGATAAATGATCAATGTAGTGGGGTTGACATTAACCTACCTTCTCTTGGACGTAACAGAAATTGCTGGAGAAACTCAGCAGGTCTGGCAATATCTGTGGAGAGAAAGCAGAGTTAATGTTTTGAGTCCAGTGACCCTTCTTTAGGGTTCTGAATGTTGACTCAACTTTCTCTCCAAGATGCTCTCACAGCTTCTGAGTTTCTTCAGCAATTTCTGTTTCAGATTTCCAGAATCCGTGATTCTTTGTTTTATTTTACCATCTCTTGGACGTGTACAAATGCAGCCTATACTAACGCGACGTGTCTCTGCCCTATTTCTCTGCAACACTTCTATAGTTTCTGTAATTAGGCAATCTTTGTCCTACATCTTCTGCATAGAAAACTAAGAGCTACCTCTGATTTAGAACTAACTCGTTCCAGAGCCCGCAAAGCTGCTGCATTAAATAGGCGAGTGTTTTCAATGGCACAGCACAGGATTCATGTATGAAGTTGAAATGGAGTAGCACAGTTGGCACAGTACATCAAGTTTTCCTCTGCATCAAACCATATCACACTGGATTCTGCAGTGCTTTATACTGGCAGTGTACACAATAAGGACAGCTTCCCACACTCAGCACCTTGACATATCTGCATGAACACCAGTTCTCTCGTCAATACATACAACACGAAGGGTAGGCAGTGCAGAGGTAGCAGCTTTCTGAATTCTGACCTTAGAATGCTGGTTTACAGATTGTAGTCTGAATTTAATATAAAGAATAAACACTATGATTTGTTAAGTAGTAGTCGTCTGAAGAATGTAATTCACTTCTCAAACCTTTTTCTCAAAAAGTTTCCTGATGTATGGCTTCCAGTAATGTTGTTTAATACCCTTTGCCTCCAATTCCAATCCGTCATGTACGGAACATAACTTGTCAATAATACATGGAGGCTCTGAAGGTGGTTTGTAATCTTTATTGTGGAAATCTTCTGGTAAACCTAGAAGAAATAGAACAGTGCAACTGTTGATTACACCATAAATCACCATCAGTAAAGCATATACATTTTTTCATAACATTGGACCTCGTGGAAAGGGAGCTTGCATTGAATTAGCAGCTCATCATGTCTTCAAATCAGTGGATTACTAACAAAGAGAAATATTTTCAATTTCATAGGTAATCACAGAAGCCAATTTGCACACTGCTAGGTCCTACAAACAACAAATAGATTTTTAGTGGATTGAGGGAAGAATAACGTTCAGGGCACCCAAAGAACTCATTGTTTTTCACATGATATCACGGGACTTTCCATATCCACTTGAGCTGGTAGACAGATGTATTGTCCCAGATTTCCACCAGAATGATGGAGAGCCTCCCCATCAGGGTGAGAAGGGTAGAAGTGGCCAAAATTGAGAAATCCTCCCCACACACAGCTCTTCCATTTTCACGGGATGGGAGTGGAATCAGGCCAGGTTTGCTGCATACTTTGTTTTACAAAAGCAGCTGGCTTGTTAAATAATCAGCTGCGCAAAATGAAGTGGGACTTTAGCATTTCTGTAACTTGACACCCAGAGTGTGAACACTAGATCTAGGATCAGGTAGCTTGTTGTGGGGGTGGGTGGATCTGGTTTCCGTTACAGAAATTTGACCAGATATTCTTTAGGATTGTTAAAAGCGGGCATGAAGGTGTCTAAAAGAGAACAAGCCCATTGGAAATGCCAAGCTGTCAAAGTTGTCCAAAGACCTTCAAGCAGCCAAGAGGACCTGTCAAGACTGTCAAGACATTTAAAGCTCCAAGCTTTTGACCTTTAAACAAGAGTTTAAAATTGCTTTCTAATTCAATCTGTCTGTTGATATTAGTCTGAAGATTTCCATTACTGATTTCATAAAGATCCATTACTACAGCTGGGTGTGTTCCATTTCATTGTTTGATTGACAGCTATAATGGTTTTGGACTCTGATGTGAAAAACAGATGTAGAAAACCTGGCCTGATTCCACTCCCATCCCGTGAAAACGGAAGAGCTGTGTGTGGGGAGGATTTCTCAATTTTGGCCACTTCTACCCTTCTCACCATGATGGGCAGGCTCTCCATCAACCTGGTGGAAATCTGGGCCAATACATCTGTCTACCAGCTCAAATGGATATGGAAGGTCTCATGACACCATATGAAAAACAGTAAGTTCTTCTGGTGTCCTCAAAAATATTCTTCCTTCAATCTATTAAAAACAGATTTTAGTGTCACCTACTTGCTGTTTTTGGGAACTTGCAGTGTGCAAATTGACTGCGGTGATTACCTATGAAATTGCAAATATTTCTCTGATAGTATTCCACTGATCTGAAGACATTACAAGGTGCTAATTCCTATTGCACTTGAAAGAAAGGTTTAAGAAATGTAGTAAAGAAGTTTTTATGAATGAGTTCTTTACAATACACTGAAGTTTGCAATAGCTTTAATTTATTCAATAGAATGCACTTTTTCACATTATTTGCCCATGGTGGATATTAAATGAGTTGCTATGGTAGGTAGGCAAAACCGTGAAGGGTGGTTAGTAGGGGGCATAGCTTAACATGAATTGGCATTTGGGCTATAAAGGACCTGGGGTAGGTATTGGATGGCGTGGAATATGTGGGAATCACGGGGTTTTGTACAGAGCATTAAGTGGCACGGAGGCTGGGACATGGGGTTGCATTGTAGGTGGGAGATAGTATGGGGTGTACATTTGGGAGAGTAAGATATGAGAGACAAGGACTGAAGGGCTGCTTTTGGTTTTATTAGTTCTATATTGATCTTCTACAGAATGCTGGTGCACAGACACATCTAGTCCGCATCCACAGCCAGCAATACAAGCTCCCGCTTCAACGTCACCCAGCCCACCTTCCAAGAAACCCCCATCATCACAGAATGTAAATCCAATTTCCCTGATCATTGTATCCCGCATTGGGTTTGCAGAGCTTGGAAATATCTGGTCTCTGTGCATCTGACACGCAAGAGGAGCATGGATAGGGTGAATATCCAAGGTCTTTTCGCCAGGGTAGGGGAGTCCAAAACTGGAGGGCGTAGGTTTAAGGTGAGAGGGAAAAGATTTAAAAAGAACTAGAGAGGTAACATTTACATGCAGAGGGTGGTGTGTGTATGCAACGAGCTGGCAGAGATGGTGGTGGAGATGGGTACAATTACGATATTCAAAAGACATCTGGGTGGGAACAGGAATAGGAAGGGTTTACAGGGATATGGACCAAATGTTGGCAAATGGGACTAGATCAGTGTAAATAGGTGGTCAGCATGGACAAGTTGGACCAAAGCGTCTATTTCTGTGCTGTGTAACTCTATGACTAAGTGAAAATTAAGACCCCAGTTTAACATCTCGCCTGAATGACAGCATGGATTAATTGGTCAATGGTTGTAGTGAAAAATGAATGATAGCAAATCAGCCGCTCCTTTTTACATCCCACTCCATACTTTTTTCCACTGAAATCAATCTACTAGTGCCATGTTTTCCTATAACAAAAACAATGATTGCACTTTACCAATAACTTCAGGACATGATGGGGTCCTAACTAAATATAAGCTGACCAGCAGTATCTCTGATAGCAGCAGTCCCTCTGTACTGCAACAAATTAATGAAATAACCTAAATGGTGCTCCATGACGATAATGGAACCTGACCGTATTCAGAATCTAAATGCTACCAAATAAGCCAAGTTGAACCTACAGCTACAGTGGACAGAGTTTAGAAATTGTTGGATAAATTGTTGGATTTTTGCATAAAGTCAACTTAAAATAATTTAATGAATCTGATGCTGCTTCTTTATAGGGTGCAATAAATGGAAAATTCTGAGTCCCATTTCTCTACCTAATGATGCTGAGGTTGATCTCCTGTTCCCAAACTGGACTCTACTGAATTAGATTGGTACAGCAAATGGGTAAAATTGCATAGATAGGATTTCAGAGGGTTATGTGCATGATTAAATCCTACATAGCTGGGCATGGAAACAGAAAATCTGACCCATTGTCTCTAGATTATTGGAAACAGAATAAAATGGCAACAAAGTTACATGCATAATACATCACCTACATAAATTTTTTTATTACTATGTTATCCCCACCTGTTTCATCTAAATATTGGAATAATAATATTTTTAAAACATTACTAAATGATTCTTATTCAAAAACAAAACGAGAATAATGTACAGAACTGAGCATGCAGCCACTGTTTTATTCCAAAATTAACTAATCATGAAAAATCTCTTTAAAAACTGTATATAGAACAAAAGTATAAAACTAAATACAAACAGTTATATATTTTAGAAAAAAAATCTCAAGGTGTTTCAAAAAGCCTGTGGGAAATGGTAGTCAAAAGAATAGAGTGTCAGGAGCGGTGACCAAATGTTTGGGCAAAGAGGTAAAGGTAGTTACCAAAGAGAGAGAAAAAGGGTTTGGGTTTTGAAATCTATAGATGTGAGGCTGGAATTAAAGGCTAGATGGGTTGAGGGGAGCAAAGACTATTAAATCAGCAATAATCTTAATGCATCATAAAATTCCCTTAAAATATAGTAACATGACATTTCGAAAACCACAAAGGCATTCCTAATTATGTATGTAATAGCACAATTTTCAAAAGACATCAGAAAATATATCTTATTTCTGCATTTAACAGAGGCAATTAGGTGGTCAGAACAAGCTGGTAAGTTTCTCCCAAAAATCAGCCATATGAAGATTAGCCTTAGTTAAATTGTCCCTTTTAGTTTCACTTCTTGCTGCGAGATGGACCCCCATCTCCATTTGGTGGCTGCTGGAGAAATTACAGATGTGATTTTGGAGTCCTAGTTTACCCTGATACAATCCAAGAACAAGTCAACAGATCAGGCCCGAGACAAGTGCCGAGAAAAGGTCAGGATGTCAGATTGAAATGGTAGGTCACCCAAAGAAGCTCTCAGATATCTCCTAGCATACAGTCCACAGCAAAGATGACAGGGAACACCTGTCCTGATAACCTTAAATAAGGAAATACTAGGTTGTAAGGAAAGAGTTAAATAGAAAGGAATCAAATGAGAAAAGGTTATTATAAAAATAAAAGATAACAATAAATATGTAAAGCAGAACATATAGTTAGAATATGGAAAGTAGTGTGAGGACCATTTGATGTACAATATTTTAGGAAAATTTAAAAGAAGTTAGATAGTCCATTATTCCAACAAGTGATTGAAAACAGGGCTGGGGATCTCAATGCTCAACTGACTTGCAAACAATGTTTATGATGACCAGAGCACACCAACCTTGTGCTGACTGCTCATCTACAAGATTGCTGCATGCAGCCAATGGTAAGTTCACCAATGAACAACTGCATACCTCAGCAAGGGCCTCAATGTTTGGCTAACACCACGTAAACCTGGCCTGTGCTAAATTAAAGGAGGTGCAGTCAGCTTGGAGCATTTGCTCAAACTGTTTGTTGAGAGGATTATGATGAACACAAAAGTGGTCTGAAACATGGTACAAATAGGGGAAGAGGTGATGCTCCTGTGTTCTACGATGCTGAATCTGATTACCTAGTGAAAAGGGTATGAGTCCTGCATTACCCATTGAGGACCAGGAGGGTCTCCAGACAAATTCTGTGAAAGGTAATGGATACAGATGGCTGTGGCACCTATAAAATATTGTATGTGCAACTAGTCACACTATCTACAAGTGGGGGAGCCAGCAATCCTTGTGATGCCATGGCAGTTCTGAAGAGGAGTCATACCAGACTCAAAACATTGACACTGTTTCACTTTTCATTGATGAATTTCTCCAGTGTTCTGTGTG